GTGCTGATGTTTTTTGTTGCAGACGAAAGAACCCACTTTCCTCTTTATAATAGAGTCATTTTTGCCATCTTCGTTTACTTCCAGGCCCCGTTCTGCGATTATGGGTTCACAGAAGAGTGGCCATATAAATATAAGCATATTGCCCAAACTGTTTATGCACTGTTCACATCCCACTTCAGTTTTGTCAAAACCTCGAGGTTATGTTAATCTTCTCCCGAAGAAAAACATGCTCGGCTGTGAAAACTATGTCTAGGCCAGTTGTAAATATAGGAAATTGCCCGAACGTAATTTAGCATAGACGTCCACTCAAATCTGTAAACATTCTGACTGATAAAACCACATGTGTATATATATTGTCCGAAAAAAGGCATTTTCCGGAAAGGGTTAGGCTAATAAATAAAATGTGCAACAATTTAGGTGTCTAAAAATAATCATTTCAGCTTCCATCATCACGTTTCCTAAGTTAGGGTACATGGCGTAAAATCAGGTTTTCTCATCTACACAACGAATTCCTACCGCTGACACTTCGTGGGAACCTTTGAGAAAAACCAATGCAACCCGCATAATGAGCAACAACACATTTATAGTTGATACTTACATGACATATTTGCAGTTTTTGAGGAGAAGTTTGGCCGAGAAAAGATTATTATAGCTGAGAAGACCGTCTTAATGAAGCGATAAATCTCAAAAAATTGTATAGTAAGTTAACTGTCAATACCTGCAAGTACGAATGGGCAGGAAACATGCGGCCAATGACAGGGAAACAGTCACTCTATCATACGAATTTCCATCTTCCTATGGGTGCATCTCCTTGAAGGGGAAACGACATTCAGTTCTTGAATCTAAACCTTAGACCGGACGCACGTGCACTAGGGGCCCCTAAGATAATTTCTCTGCACGAGTATGGACTCCCTCAAAGTCCGCTTTGAAGCATGAAGTGTATTGACCGAATAGTAAGGTCCAAATGAGATGTAGTATTCGTCGAGTTCATTGTAGAGGATTTCGCATGCCGACTGCCACTGGTTAGGAAAGGAGTACTGAGTGTGCTAGGGCTGCACCATCCTTTTAGACGCCAGAGTATCAATTTACACGCAGAGTTTGATGAAGTAAATGAAAAGCAAAAGGGAGATAAAAGAAAAAAGGGGAGGCGTCCGTGCTCTCACCGTGGGTGCTGAAGCCTGTAGACTAAATTGAGACGTCTTCTCTGGGTTTCCGAGTCGCAGGTACCGGTTGCACGGTCGCGGTCGACAGATGCGTCTCTGCTCGGCAGTTCGAGCATCCTCCAGGAGAACGTCACTTCCCAGCCGAATGGCCGGTTCACAGTCCGAGCGCGGGTCCATGCACCAACGACTACGAACGCGAAAACGTTTTTGCGAGGTCTCCTTACTCTGGTCTTCCTGGCAGCTGGGCCTACACATGGACCAAGAGGTCCACGGAGACCAGTTGTCTAAGGGAAGGGGACGATTGCATAGCCTCCCAGTCCAACCTCGGTGGCAGATGCACCTCGCAGTCACAACTCTGACGCCCGGCCCATAAGGCACAGCAACGGTGGACTGCAACAGTGGTCACATTAAAGTGAAGAGAAGATAAGTTCATCCACCATCTCAAGAAACTTAAATGACGGAATCAGGGGGAGTGACAAGTGAATTATGCAGCGAACATGATAATAATAATGATAGTTGTGACAATAATGCATATTACTAGTCAGCATAATCATTATACGTATGATTATGATAATCGATATCAACAGTGACCGTGGGAGCGGCATCAGCCGACTCCTCACCAAAGTCTTCTGTGGGCAAAGCGATGGCAAGACACCATTTCTCGCACAAGAAGGATAGATAGTTTTGTCTCGTCCAGTCTACAGACATTCGGATCTCGATATTTTTAATAGTATATATCATCCTGAACCTCTTTTACGCTGTTATGTGTGAAGACAGTTAGATCACGCAAGGCCCATTGTGAGTAATATTAAGGTTTGCGACTGCGGATCATGGAGAGCTGGTTAACGGGTTTTGCGAAGTTGTCGTGGAAATACTTAATTCCCATTGGCATGGAAGCACAATCCTGCTCGTGCATTTCCACCTACTTCAAATGTAACTGCTGGTTGGACGTAAACGTCTTGGCCAGAAGTGTGCATTCTAAGGGCCTTCTGTGGAAGTAAGGTGCATGACTTTACGGAGTCAGAGACGACTGATATTTAGAGAACTACTCCAGTCGCGGGGCTATTCTGAAGCCGCAAAATACACCTCGTGGACAATAAGAGTTAACTAGTATTATCACCTAAGACGAAGGAAATGGGAATGACTATTTGTGCCTTGGCTGTCATCGTCGGCTAGCCACATTTCAACCACATGCCAGAGGGCCCTGAGGCTTGAATATCGGTCCAGTCAGATACATGAGAGTGGCGTGCAGCGAGCCGTTGTGATTGCAGGGTGGAAGTGAGCACTCCTGTTTTGCCTTGGAACATAAATGGCCATTCCAGTGTCAACATCCGTAGCGGTAAACACCTCTCAATGCGGTAGATTTTTCATCGAGCTTAATGCTTTACAGTTGCAACAAGCATCTCACGCGTCGTCGTCTTTGGTCGTGAATACTCAGTCATCTAGGCGAGATATTCAACGGTCTGACCTCCATATAAGACGAGATACGGCTGCTCAATTGTTCTTAAAGTTTCAGTTTAGAGCCCTTGCGACCGTCCATGCAACCTCGAGCCAGAGCTCCAGGGCAAAACGACGAACCATTGCTCGGCGAAATTGGTATTGAACTGCAATTATACATTAATTTTGTTATGCAGTCAAAGGCCACTACAGCGAGATCTCAAAGAAAAATTGGCACCATAGTCTTAGGTAAACTGTCTTTGTTAGCCTGAAAATCCTTAAACAAGTTCTGTGTCTGCATATTCCGCACTAGTAAGAATACTTTCATTTCGCCTCTTTTAATTCGCGTCAAATCCTCACTCAATGGTAATTAAAACACTGATCTTATCGGTGGGAAAACAAGAGTCCGGAGATTAGTTTTGGTCAATTATGTAGGTCTATGTACACCTTGGATTCCTCTCTCCGCATTTTCTCGTACATCTGAACGTTCCTGTACTTTTGTTTGAAAATGCTAAAATACATACACCAACCGGTTTCGACTTGCGATAATGCGCGTTCAAACTTCGCTGCCATTTGATGCCAATGGTTCTTAGATAAATTTTATGCGTCTGAAATCCACTTTAGTCAAGTTCGATAAAAATCTAGGTTACTTCTCAATCACACCTTACCATATTCGGCCGGGCGTCAAGCACTATTAACAAGGGCCATTTCGGGGCTTTTGAGAATTACCCCAAAAGGACCCTCAGTTTCTACCACAACCTGGTACTTGAGAAAACTTTGTTTTTCACGAGTCTATACAGCAATTCACCTTTGCCGTTTCCCCATTTTTTTTTCTTCGTCACTATTCGCAGGTTAAACACAACTTAGAGCTGCGTTTCTCCCCTATATATTACTACTTTTTGATTATTCTTTACGCTTCAAAAACAGTGACCCATATTGTCCAGAGTTACGCAAAATTCTGCTTACTTTTGCGGACAACAATACAAACACTGACTCCCTGGATGTGAATGCTCTCTCCGACAAATTGCTCCCGTTCACACCGAGTAATCCACGCGTGTGATTTAGGCAAATAGAGGCCGTTTTCACAATACGCCGTATTACTAGTGAGCGCACACGTTACTCCTACGTAGATGCAGGCACTTCCTTTCAATGTGGCCATTGACGTCGAGGATCTTACGGACTAAACCCCAGCTGATGACCACTACACCCATCTGAAGAATGCTGTAATACAGCGTGTGGTCAAATCAACCAACCGGATATTG